CTAATACTAAAATAAAAAATTTATATTTTTAAAGAACTTTTTTATTAATGTAGTTCATGGCGCTCTTTAAGTTACTTATAGATCGCCGTGATGTAGTTAAAAAGAAATTTTTTGCTAACGCTCCGTTAAGTTAAACGGAGAGATGAGAATACGGCCCCTGCTTAATATATGCATATATTATGCATACCATATATTTTTAGTTTGATCCCTACCATGTCACTGGTAGTTTCGTATTTCGAAATTAAAGAGTTGAGAGAGGGTTGTAACCGCAATAAAGTAGTCTTCTCGACTGTAGTAGCCTTCTCGACATTGGGGGGGAGGGGGGTAAAAAAATAAAAAGCATAAACAGAATAAAAAATTTCAAAAAATAAAACAATAATAAGTATAATAACCAATGTTTACGTTGTGCAAGAACAACAAAATGTTTATAATGTGCAAGAACAACAAAAAGCAGTAATTTATTTAAAATTTACAGATTTGTTTTTGACGAACATATTTTTTGTGAAACCACAATAGGCAGAAATCACATATAATAAAGTCCCAATTAATATTTTATACCAAAAGCTTTTCTGGCACTTTTTGACAGACCAGAACTCGGATATAAGGGTAGCAAGAAGTGACGTCTCTTTACTGGAAAGTTTACACTTCTTATGTTGAGAATGTACTTTTCTTTTGGGAGCTACCTGAAATTTTAAAGATCTAGACTTTTTAACCGTAACATGGGAACTGTAGGCATATTGATGTTGACAATAATATTACAATATCCACCTTTTAGATCATAAATTACTATCAAAATAACTTATTTGAAGCAACTTTGCAAACAGCAAATGTGTCAACAAAACAGGTTCATAGACTTACAAAACATACATGAAGAAAAATTAGATTACACTGTAACCTGTTAATTATAAAATTTTCATGTTCACTTGGTAACAAAGTAATGTAGCAGTAGCATCACAAAGCATGCTTCCACTCTATATGGGGTAAAATTAACTCGTGTTTTCAATATTTTAATGCAGGGTTAACAATAAAAATACTAAACAAAACGCATTAATAACACATTTTATTTAATGTTTTACCCATCCCAAATGGTTTCACATTTTGCGACACTAATTTGACAAAAAAAAAAAAACAATAAACAAAGAAAACTAACAGAAAAACAAAACAGAAAAAAAATAATAATAATAAAAAAAAAAAGAAAGGAAAATAAAGCAATAAAAAATAAAAATTAAAATATAATAATAATAATAATAGTATGAATAAAAAAATTACAAATAGTAACTATATGATAACTTAAAATTTATAACTAATAATAAAAACTATTTTGAAAATAGTTATAGTGAAATTTATTAACTATGACAAAAATTATAGAAATAATCACAGCATTTTCAAAAATTATGACGATATCCATAAAACTCTTACTACAATGGAATCACTATCACTGTCATTATAAATAATATTAAGGCTTCAAAAACAAAGATAAATTAATGATAATAATAGTAATAAAAATGAAAAAAATCATAGTATAAAATAAAAGTAATAATAGTTTTATAAGTACAGTAATATAAGAAAGCAATAATAATAATAGATAAAATTAATAATTATTAGAAGTATATTCAAATAAAAATTTCTTAAATTGGTTTCAATTGAGAAGAATGTTGGTAATAAAACTTTTGTTATTTTTTATTAAAAGGGTATTTAATTAAAATCTTCTATTTTTTTATAAATGGTATTATTTGATTAAACCTCAAAGATGCAACATCTTTATTTGTAAGCAAACCTGCAGCTGCTATTTCACTTTCACCTATAAAAAGATTGAATGAAAATTAAACTTTAAGAACCAAAATTAAGTATAGCTAAATATGACAAAACTTATTATGTTTATAGTCATTCATTATAAACAGTAGTAAACAAAATTAGAAAAAAATAGGCAAATAAACTAATCAGCACAGTCTTCACATAGCAAAAATATACACTGCCAGACGAATTTCGAATAACTTATAAGTTGCATATGCAACTTATAAGTTATGTATGGATGCGCATCCATACATAAAAACTCAGGATATGGATTGTAAGCACTATGCGTAAAAAAATATTGAAATAAAAGCCCTTGTCCAGGCTAAAATACGCGAATACAAAAATGCCTTTTTTAATATTGCCTTTCAAATTTTCAAATGATAAAAAAACATTTTTGCAACTAAAACCAGTCGATATCTTAAAAATATAAAATGGCTAGTGGTAATTACCACAGTGCCGGCAAATAATTCTGAGATTAATTGCCAGCAGCGCGTTTAAAGAAACAATTTGAATGTAATAAATTCAGAGATTTGGTTATTTTATATAATATAATATAATAATTGCTGTACAAACTATTTAAGTTTGGTGAGTCAAAACTACGTAGTGTATTGACTGTAACAGCCGTTAAATGTAAAATTTTACAAATAGAATAAAAAGTTTCTAAATAAAATTTGGTGTCAAAAGTTCAAAATTTTGTCTATTCTATTTTTGAACTTGTTTTTGTTTGCAGAATCGATTGCATCTTGTGACAATAAATTCCAATCGCCGACCACTCTATTTGTTAAATAATAATACCTGGATGATTTTTTAGTATATTGTCGATGAAGTCTTTTATTATGACAATATCTGAACATGTTGTTGTAAAATTCTAAAGGCTCTTCAAACCTTATATATTCAGTTGAATTTAATATTTTAAAAATTTCTATTAAATTGCCCCTTCTTCTCCTTTCTTGTAAGGATGGTAAACCTAATATTTTTTTCCTATCTTCATAGAGAAAAAAATATTAGGTTTACCTATATATCTTTCCTATTTTTGAGTCTCTTAATGTCTTTAATACAATATTGGCTCCACACAGATGCTGCATATTCAAGCTATGGCCTAATAGTTGACTTGTATAACAGCTTCAAAATGGTAACATCAAAATATTTAAATCTGTGTTTTAAAAAACCCAGTGTTTTATTTGCCTTATTTGCTACACTGATAATATGATTTTCCCATTGGTCATTTGATAATATTACACCTAAATATCTTTCAACTTCTGTTTTTTGCAAAATATGATCTCCTAATTTGTAACTAAAGGATTCAAATTACCAATGTCATTGTTTTACACTTTTCTTTACTAAATTTAATTTACCACTTATTTGACCAGTCTAATAACTTATTTAAATCTTCTTGAAGAGCACTGCTGTTACTTACATTATTAATTACTGACATTATTTTTGTATCGTCTGCAACTAATTCTAATTTATTTAGTATGTTAACTTTTAAGTCATTTATAAATATTATAAACAGAAGTGGACCGAGGATTGAACCCTGGGGAACTCCACTTGTGACTTCCTGCCAATCTGAAACAAACTCACCCAGAACAACTCGTTGTTTTCTATTACTGAGAAATGATTTACACTATTGTAAGATATAAGAGTGAAAACCATAACCTTAAAGCTTGCAGCATAATTTCGATAAAGAAACGGAATCAAAGGCTTTGGCAAAGTCCAAAAATATTATATCAATATTATTACCAGCTTCTATTTTACTTGTTATAAAATCTAAAGTCTCTAATAAATTAGAACAATAATTTTTACCATTACTAAATCCGTGCTGTTCGCTTGCCATTAACTTATTTAAAGCTAAATGGTTCATCATAACATTGTGAATAATTTTCTCCATTACCTTGCATACTATTGATGTTATTGATATCGGTCAATAGTTTGAAGGATCTAACTTATCTCCTTTCTTGAATAGTGAAGTTATGTTTGCAGTTAACCATTCGTTTGGTATATAATATATAATGACATTTAAAATGACACTTTAAAGATCAGTGATAAGGGGTGAGAAAGTGATTTTGAACATTCTTTGGGAACACGAGGATGAACTTTGTCAACACCAATTGTTTTATTAACATTAAGATTTACTAAGTTTTGTTGTTAGAAAAACAATTTAAATTATGTATTTATTTATTTTATTATATATTTATTTATTTAATTCACTTTTATAACTTTTTTTCCGCCAGTATAAAATAACGAAAAACCCTCAGTCAATTTATGTACACTCTATACAGGTCTAACCCTATTAAAGTCAGGCGTTGGTATGTAAATTTCACTTCGCTCATCCCTATTTAAGTCAGTCTTTGAATTTAGACTTTGCTGCACTTATTTCTAAATCAGTCGTAAGCATACTCTGCTTCGCCTAAATCAGTTATACGGCTATATCAGTTGATGTATGTACACTTTGAGGCACCTATTAAACTTAAATCTAATAAATGGTAATTATTAATAAACAAAAGTTAGTAAACACTAATAATGGGTAATACTAATAAAAATTAGTACTGTTTAAAATAAAGCATAAATTTTCACGAAAAAAGAAAAATTAACAGACAGCAACGAACTCGCGTCGCAGCTCTTATTAAAAACTATCATATTCACAGAGCTACACAAGCATATAAAAAGATGCAGTTTTTAACTTTATATTTTAAAATATTCTGCTGGCAAATAATTTGCCGGTACAGCCGGCAATTACCTTTCGATTTAAAATTATCTTTTTCCGATTAGAAATTTTAATTCGGAAATCTTAAATTCAAAACACATGAAATCGGGATTTTGTTTTTACATGTGACTTTGGCAACCAATAAACACCCTAACGGTTCTAATGAAAATTTTGCTTGAGTAGAGAGTACCGAGATTCGGCACTCCACGGCGATATATTTAAAGTAAATTAATAAGTTTCTTGAATGAGTTTGTGCATAAAATACTAGTATTTTATTTTTTTATCAAAACTGTTTAAAAAAAAGTATAATTAATACTGTGTTTAAATAATATATACACACTTTTTATTTTGTATATAATACAAAATAAAAACTTTTTATGAGTATTTAATAATTAATTTTGTAAACGATTAAATAAACAGTAATAAACACATAATGACAGTTTGAATGTTGATTTTTTGAATTCTACAAATTAAGAAAAAATGTTATTATATATCTTAAAAATTTTAGGTAAAAATTTTTTTGAGGATTTTAGTATATTTAAACAAAATGCTTTTATAATGAATATTGATCAGAATCTGGTAAAATCACTTCTTAATGCATCTGAAAGAGGAGATTTGGCAAAAACTGAGTTATGTTTAAAAAGTGTTGCTGTTGATAGTATAGATGATCAATCACATACTGCTTTACATTTTGCTGCAGCGAATGGTCATGAGACCATTTTACGTGAGCTTATTAAGAAAGGAGCTGGACTTGAATGCAGAAACTGGTGCGGGTGGACACCTATAATGTTTGCTGCCTATTATGGACATTACAATGTAGTTAGTATTTTATTGCAAAACAATGCAGATGTAAATATTCCAAATTCAAGGTTAGCCACACCATTAACTTGTGCAGCTCGCTGTGGCCAAATAGCAATAATTGAGCTATTACTTCAAAATGGTGCTAAAGTGAACCAGACTGATAATCCAGATGTTACTCCACTAATGGCAGCTGCTCAACATGGACATACATCTATTGTTAGTTTGCTTTTGCAGTATAGTGCTGATATAGACTATAAGAATCCACATACAGGATATACTGCTTTAATGCTGGCAGCTTGTAATGGTCATTTAGATGTTGTTCGATTGCTTATTGAGAAGGGTGGAGCTAATGTTAACTTAAGAAATATTCTCAATCAAAATGCATACAAGTTAAGCATTTTAAGACGAAAATTTGATGTTGAAAAATACCTAAGTGTAAGAACTCAAGCAATTGAGCAAATGTTACCAATAGTTCGCCCATCATCAACTTTAATAGATGTTGTGAAATCTGGTATGTTTGTTAAAAATTTTTTTTACTTAAAATATTTAAATAAAAATTTACTTGCATGGTTGTCAAAAAGCTTTACTATACTTTATTGACATAAAAAAAAAATTAAAATACAAGACCGAAATTGTTTTTTTTTTATTACTTGATAGACTGCCTGCCCCAACCAAACCCTCAGTTGATGTAGCAGCACTCCATTACAAGTCAGGCAATTTGTCAGTCGATGTCGCAGCACTCCGTTGTGAGTCAGGCTATAAGATAGTTGATGTAGAAGCACTTCCTTGTAGCAGCAGGCTATAAGATAGTTGATGTAGCAACACTTCACGTATGATTTACAGTAAAAAAAATAAAATAAAAATAGAAACAATTTATTAAAAAAAATAAAATAAACAAAAAACATTGTTTATATTTTTAAAAACATTCTGGTCAATTAAATTTGGGTTTTTGCGGTTTTTTTAAAAAAAAAAGATTAAATTAATGGTTTTAACTTTATGACAGCACAGAAATGTTGAATGAAAGTCAAAAGTAATTAAAAGTGACGTATTTATTATCAAAAGAATCATTTTTTACCTTCCGTACTCTCAAAGCCAACAATATAACTCTCTCTCTCTATATATATATATATACACAATAGTTTTTTGATTTATATTTATTTTAAATTTAATCTAGGCAAACTTGAGCTTGTTCAAAAAATGTTAAACAGCGGCCATAAAATTGATGTGAATGAAGTTGATTCAGATGGAGCAACACCTTTGATTTATTCATCCATGAATGGACACTATGATATTGTTCTACTTTTGCTGAAAGCAGGAGCTAAAACTGATATACAGGATCAACTTCATGGATGGACAGCTTTAATGCAAGCCACATTAAAACAGTAAGCATCTATTTTTTATTCAGCTTTGTAAACTTTTTTAATACTAAAAATTCTTCTTACAATTTAGATGTATAAATAGAAATATGTTCCTGCTCTGCATTTTGTATCTGGAAATAAAAATTAAATTGCTGACATTAATATGCTTTAATAAAACCCATAATAAAACATTCTAGTACTTTTTGATGTAATCTAAAAATTATTTATAAAGTGTTTATAAAAGTATATAAAAGTAAAGTATAAAATATAAGTAAAATTTTAATATTATTTCAGTTTTGTTGCTCATAAAAATATTTTTTTAATCAATTTTATAATTACTGGACTTCAGTACTGCTTTTTTTGAATGTCTTTTTTTTATGTAAATATAGCTTCAATTAATAAATGAATAAAAAGTCATATAACATCAAAGAAGCGTTAGAAATATTACTTACTCCATGTTCTAAGGTGCCAAACTTAGATGAAGTTGATGAAGAAGAAACATGTGTACAACAATGGATTAATGTTACTCTAATGTAGATCTCATAGTTGACACTGATGCAGAAAAAAATAAAATAAATAAACACTGATGAAATTAAAAATAAACAAAACACTGATTAAAAGTATTTGAAAGTATCAGAAAAATTCTGATACTTTTGAATTTTTTTTTGATACTCTACATGAGAAGAGTCTATGGAGAATGTCAAACTTTCTTAATAGCCATTTAAAAATTTTGTTATTTTCACAGATCATCAAAGTCTTATTGATATGTAACATTTTACATTTTGATTACATAACCAATGTTCGTTAATTTACTTTAACAAAGCGTAACATTTTTACTTAACTTTTATGTATCAAATATCATATGAATTACACACAGAACTCAAATATATAAATACAAAACTTAAAACAGCAGAAGTAAAGATTAATCAAATATATTTGCATGGCTCATTGCTTAGGAATTGCAAAGATTATTGCTTAGAAGGCTGTGCTCCATCTATGTCAAAAGTAACCCAAAACTATTTTTGTAAGTTGACACTTGAATCTTATGGCCATTCTCTTCCTTCCACTGTAATTAAACAGGTTAACCATTTGTTAGACATTCAAATCACTCCAGTTTCTGTTACTAAATTTCTAAACAACATTCCTATCATAGTCTTACAAAATTGTTTTCTAGAACTCTCTTTAATTCTCTCTAAACTATTTAATAAATGTTTGACTGAGTCTTGTTTTCCTGCCTGCTGGAAAATGGCATATATTGTTCCAATTTTCAAACACTCAGGTGAATATTCTGACCCCTCCAATTATTGTCTGATCAGTCTTCTTTCTGTTATTAACATGGTCTTTGAGTCTTTGATCAACAAATTTCTCACATCCTATTTTGAGTCAAATAACATACTGTCAGACAATCAACTGCTGTGACTAAAAGATTTTATTGTGCATTAAATGGAAGCAGAGAGGTTAGAGCTATTGCTCTTGACATACCTAAAGTTTTCAACAAAGTTTGACATGCTGGTCTTCTCCATAAGCTTGTTTCATATGGTGTTTTTTAAGATTATCAAATCGTTTCTTTCTAACTGCTTTATTAAAGTCAACTTTGAAGGCCAACACTCTTCTTTATTTTCAATAACTTCTGGGGTACCTCAAGGTTTTATCATTGGTTCTGTTTTCTTGTTCCTTTTTTTTTTCAATTTTTTATAATTTAAAATGCAAATTAAAACATCCTATAAACTTTGTCCTTACGCCAACTCAACTTAGTTGTAAAAAACTTGAATAGTAAAACTTTAAAATAAACTTTAACATTTACATAATTTTAAATTTGCATTAGTTAAACATTTTCTTATAAAAGAAGTGCTAAAAGACTTGTTCTCACCATTAGCTTGTCTTAAATGGCTGCCACAAATGAGTAAGGACAGCAGTAAGTTCAATATTAAAATATTTATAGGATAAGTTTTAACTTTTAAAGAAGAACTTTTAAACCTTGGTTAAAATGGTTCTTTTTTTTCTTCTAGTGGTAATATTGCAATAAGTTCTAATAGTGCAAAAATTCATCCTGTAAAAAATTTTTTTAACTCTTCCATAATTTCTTATTTGAATTATAAAATAGCAACATGTCTAAATCACAAGTTGGAAAAAAATAGATGTTTGTCTTTAATATATAATAAAAACATTTATAATCTGTTGTTGTCTTTCATTATATTAGGCATGTGCACATTGTAAAGCTGTTGATCCAACATGGTGCTGATGTAAATGTAAAAGATTTTAAAGGGTTTCTTGCATTTGATTTAGCTACTTTAGTTGGTGTCCCTGAGATTACACGATTGTTAGTTCCAAATGGTATGCAAGTTTAACTATTTTTTAATCAATTATTTTATAAAATTTTAGTAATTATACTTATATTAGTATAATATTTGTATTAATTTTTTGTATTTTTTTTTATTTTACCACTTTTAAGAACTGTTTAAAAACTTTTTTAAGTTTTTTAAAAAAAGTTTGTATAAAAAAGTGGATTCAAATTTTGCACAATAGAACTTACCTCTCTCTTACCACCTCAATCCTTGGCCCTATACTTTTTTTAATTTACATTAACGATTTTCCAGATATTCAGGGGGCATCTGAGCTTGAAAAGGATCTCACTTCTGCTACAGCATGGGGCTCACAGTGGCTGGTGAACTTTAATTCAGATAAAAATTTATGAATGGTAATGTACTCAATGAGTCTCCTACCCTTCATCTTCTAGGATTAACTCTTACTTCTGATCTTTCTTGGAAACCTTACATCAAATCCGTTGCAAAATTATCTTCTAAAGTTGCTTATCTTTATCGAGCTTGACACTTTCTTACTCTGGATTCTATTCTCTATCTCTATATATCTCAAATCCGGGCTTGTATGGAATACTGTTGCCATATCTGGGGTGGATCTTCTAATGATGCTCTTTCTATTTTAGACAAAGTTCAAAAACGCATTGTAAACATAGTTGGACCTGCTCTTGCCGCCAACCTTCAACCTCTGTCACATCGTCATAATGTTGCTTCTCTTTCTCTTTTCTACAAATACTATAATGGGAACTTCTCTAAAGAGCTAGCGTCTCTTGTGCTATCTACTAAAATTCATTCTCGTGTTACTCGTCATTCAATTAAGTCTCATCCTTTTTCTGTTACTGTTCCTAAGTGCTCCAAAAACTCTTATTCGTCTAGTTTTTTTCCTCGAACATCAGTTCTTTGGAATTCGCATCCTTCATCTTGCTTTCCTGATTCATATAATTTGCAATCTTTTAAGTCGTCTGTCAATCGTTATCTTGCTCTACAATCTTCATCTTTTCTTTTCCAGTAACTTCCAACACTAATTAGTGGTTGCTTGCAGCCTTGTTGGAAGCGAAGATGTTTAAAAAAATTATAATAAAATTAAGTATTTAATAATAAAAAGTATTTTATCATTGGTGTTGTTAAACACACAATAAAAAATAAAAACTATAATAAACATGGCAATGACACGGATTTCAAAGTGGAGGGACACAATCATCAAGTTCTATAAAAATGTGCTATATATATCTAGATTTTTCTAAAAAAAAAAAATAGACATTTTTTTTTAGAAAACTTTAAAAAATAAAAAAACCCTAACCCCCACCCCACCCCACACCCCACCTCCTTCTCCCAGTGTCGTTGGCTCTGAACATAATAGTTCTATATATTCTATTAGATTGATATTTCAGCAAAACTTAAAAAATTTTTTAAAAACCTTTGAAAGTGCTTTTAGTATGCAAACAAACATTACTTCACTTTAAGAATTATAAGCAAATTAAAAAAAAAAAGCAAGCTTTTGAAGAAAGCAATGTTTTGGCATGGTTTCTTCTAAAGTAATTGCAAATGCATTCATTTTAGCTAAAACTTAGCATGCTTTTGTAAACGCATGTAAATACCATGCTAAGACAGAAAAATTTTCTTCAGTTGCGTACTTTAACTTGTAAGTAACGCTATTGAATGTTTAGCATGGTTTCTTTTAAAGTCTTTGAAATGCGCTTTAAATTTTAGTAACTAATTAATTTTATTATAAATATGTGATTTTTATAATAAATAAAAAACTACCAATTAATTATTTGGAAATAAAAAAGCTAAACGTTTGTTTGTTTTAAATTTTATGACATGCTTTGTAAGCCTTTTAGCACCTCGTTTTTTTGTCTACAATGACTTATTTCTAATATATATTAAAATGAACTAGTGTCAGTGTTACATGCAACAGTTTTACTTATTAGGGTAAAAGCAATTATATGAATGTATATAGCAGTAGTCCATTCCCACATCCAGTCTATGGAGGTCAGGACATAAACCTGCTTTTTAAGCCCTTTTGACTAAAATGACATGTTTCTGAAAAGTCTCAAAACCAATTATTGTCAGTGTTACATATATCAGTTTTACTTATTTGGGTGAAGACAGGTATATGAATGTATATAGCAGAGGTAACTTGGGGTGGTAGTGGTGGTTGGGGGGGGGGGTTAAGAAAGGCTTCATTGTAGTCATCATGAATAGCCCAAGTTTCTGGAGATGATGTCAAGAATTCTGTTGGTAGATTAAGAGAGTCAAACAAATTCATGTAACAAAATTAGCTATGGAGAGTTTAGACAAAACCTTAAATCTTGTTTGGAGCAAGTCTTCTCTTGTCACCTAGTAATGATTTTTTTTATAAAGCATTTACAACTTCTACTCTTTCTTCAACAGAAGTTTTATCACTAAATAATGGTATAACTACTTTGTTTTCACTTAAATACCATAATTAAAGGTTAATTTTATTTTTTGCAACGGTTGCAATTTTGCTGTTAACTTTAAAAGAAGGAGATCGTTTTTTTGCTCTTCTGTTGTAAGAGGAGCTGAAAACCAGAAACTCACATATATTGTTTGAGATGTAAATCACTCTTTTTCAAACTTTTCGATTAGTTCCCACTGAGATTTCAGTCTACAAAAAAGTTCAATATTTGGTCCTTTTGATACAAAAAATGCATCAAACACTGCATTTGCGCATATTTTAAGAATACTAAAAACAGAACTTTTTTATTCATTGATTTCTGTATGACAGTTATTGCCGCATTATAACTTCCTGTATTACTTTACGAATTAATTATTTTTGTTGATCTGATGCCGACCTCATATATAGTACAATTTTGTACCAATGCCCTTACTGAAAATCAACAGGCAGAAAGTAAATAGGGGGTAAAGTAAATAAAAATTTTGTGATTTTTTTGCCTTAATTTGAGTCCTTTACATATATGCATATATTGATATATTTTTTTTCCCAACCTGATGCCGACATCTAATAATTTAAAGTTAGCAAAAATTATTTTCCTGATTCTAAGTTTGATATATATATATATATTTACTTTTTTGTTATTTCAGTTAAAGTTTTGATTACTAAGATGTTAAATTTTAATAAATTTTTATGTTGTTTTTTTTCTCAGAAAAACAAAACATAAAAACTTTTCAAACTCCTTTTGCTCAGTTGTATTTGTTTTTATTTTGCTCTTTATTTGGTTCTTTTAAGTTATTATTATTATTTTTTTTTTTAATTTATTTAATTTATTCAATTTCATGTTTAGTTTGTTCTGACATATGCATAAAGTTTTGGTGAAGTCCATAAAATATAAATAAATAATATATTATTGTGCTTTTTTTTTAACATTTAATTTTAATTTATGTTTTATAATATTTTTTATAAGAACCATTTTTTTACCCATTGATTTACACAAGTATTGTAAGAACACTTGTGTAAATCAAGCAGGATGCCTTACTGCTAGTTTCCAACTATTAACAAATTTTAAAAATATATATATACTTTAATAAATTATTTTTTAGTACCTGGTGTTGAACGACCATCATTGGAACAAAACAGGTATTCCTTTATTAAAATGTAGACAAAGCATACCATTAGAGATTTGTTTTCAAGATTTTAAAATTTAGGGTCAGTACATAAAAATGTCAAAAAGATAATAATAATAAAAAAAAACAATAGTAAAAGTGAACTACTTTTAACAGGATGAGAACAATAGTTTAACTTTTATAACAGATGTACTCGATGAGTCATCTACCCTTCGTTTTCTAGGATTAACTCTTCTGATTTTTCTTGGAAACTTTATATCAAATCTGTTGCAAAATTAGCATCTGTTAAAGTTGCATCTCTTTAACGAGCTTGACACTTTCTAAATCTGGATTCTATTCTCTATCTCTATAAATCTCAAATCCGTCCTTGTATGACATACTGTTGCCATATCTGGGGCGGATCTTCTAAAAATGCCCCTTCTCTTTTAGACAAGGTGCAAAAACGCATTGTAAACATAGTTGGACCTGCTCTTGCAGCCAACCTTCAATCTTTGTCACATCGTCATAATGTTGCTTCTCTTTCTCTTTTCTACAAATACTATAATGGGCATTGCTCTAAAGATCTAGCGTCTCTTGTGCCATCTAATAAAATTCATTCTCGTGTTACTCGTCATTCAATTAAGTCTCATCCTTTTTCTGTTACTGTTCCTAAGTGCTCCAAAAACTCTTATTTGTCTAGTTTTTTTCCTCGAACATCAGTTCTTTGGAATTCGCTTCCTTCATCTTGCTTTCCTGATTCATATAATTTGCAATCTTTTAAATCATCCGTCAATCGTTATCTTGCTCTACAATCTTCATCTTTTCTCTTCCAGTAACTTCCAACACAAATTAGTGGTTTCTTGCAGCCTTGTTGGAAGCGAAGATGTTTAAAAAAAAAAAAAGATCACTCACAATTTGCCAACCATGAATTTAGATGTCTCTAGGATACTCTAGGATATAATACCAGGCTAGTTTTACATGTTGTTCTATTGCTTCATAAATGCAAAGGACTCTTAGAAAGCTTAGGTGACAAGTGTCAGCCTGTGACAGATTTCATCGTGTTCTAAAAAAATTTGATTAGAGTGCTTGATATAGATTCATTTTTAGAAATTTAAGCTTTATCAATTCTTTTTAGATTTTTTGTAAATTTTTAAAAATTTTTAATCTTTTGTTGATTATCTTTGTTTTTTTATTAAGGACTTTTTTATTTCATTAATTTAATTATAAATTAGTGTGTTATTTTAATTTATAAATCATTCATTTTCAATAAACAATTTAAAAAAAAAAAGTTAAAATAAACGATATTTAGATTTCTTAATAATTGAAAATCTCAATGGTGAATTTTTTGTTTTTCTAAAATCTTTGTTTTTTTGTTTGAAGTTTATCATGGTTATCACAGTAAAATGGTTTTATAAGTCCTGTCTGATGCCAAGCTCCGTTATTCTCAGTTTATTAAATCTTGTATCTTATTTCAGATGTTAGGTTTTGTTCTGATCTTATTACTTCTCCCCAAAATAATGCAGAGTTGCTTGCTAAAAACTTTTCCTAAATTTATGCATTAATGAATATATATTATAATTTATTGAATAGTTTATGTAATTAATGGTTATTCTCTTCCTGGGATTTCAGTAAAACAGATTAACCCAATGTCATCCAAAACACTCCAGCTTCAAATATTAAAGTTAATTCTCAATTAAAAATTTCTATGGCTTGTGGTTCCACAACATTTCCATCATAGTCTTACAGAAATGTTCTCTAGAACTCTTTTTAATTCTTACTAAAATATAAGTGCTGATTTTGAAAACACTCTGATGTCACCAGCTATCGTGTGATTAGTTTTCTTTCTAATATCAGTTACTTTATATAAAAAGTCTTTTAAATCATTTCTTTCTAACTGCAATATTATCGTCATCCTCGACGGCCAACTTCATTTCCATGCTACTCTTCTTCATTTCTACTCTTCTTCGTTTCCAGTAACTTTAGGAGTACCAAAATGGTTATTGATTATAAAGAGTTCTCAATTTTTTGTTCCTCTATTGTTTCTTATCTGCAATAACAATCTTTCCAACAATCTTACATATAACTGACAAGTGGCATATAAATGACAGGTAAACAACGCACTATTTGCTAATAATTCAACCTTTTACTCTTGTCTTGACAAAAAGTATTTACTTTTTGTCAAGACAAAAAGTAAATACTTTTTGATTGCTTAGCAACTGATATTTAATCTGATCTCTCTTCAGTAACAGCTTGGGGCATATGTTGGCTTGTGGATTTAACACTGTGGACTACAACAAATTTTAACTCTGTTGTTTACTGCAAACAACTTTTGTTGACATTCCTATGTTGCTAATTAACAACCCTCTCACTCTTAGATTTATATTGTTATGTTTCATATAAGTGTAGTTAGACCTGCTTTATCTGCCAAGCTTGAACCATCTTCCATTGTTGTAAGGTTGTCTCTTTCTTTTTTCTACAAACACTAACCATGATAGTTTGTTGCTCAAACAAACTATCATCTATTTTCATCAACCAAAACTCATTCTTACTTCTCATTCAGCAAAGTTGTATCCTTTTACTTTATCCGTTCCCACATGCTGAAAAAATTTTGTTATTCTAGTTTTTTTCATTCGCACATTAAGAAAACCTTAAAACTTTCATCCATCTTAATGCTTTCCTGACTGATACAACCTACAACTTTTTAAGTCTTTAATTAACTGTTTTCTTATTCTTTAACCCTATCTTTTGTTTTAAAGTAACTCATAACTTAATAGTGGTTGCTTACAACCTTGTTAATTCACTTCCCCAAGGCCAAGAAGGCCACTATAGACAAGGAAGCTACTTAATTATGGTTATAACCCACTCTCAACTCTATAAATCTGAAACACGAACCTTGATGAATGAGGCCGATGCGTGGAAAAACAAGTTGAGAGTGGCACTACCAAGGATGTGGTGGGGATTAAACTCAACCCCTCTACAGCATTATATATATATATATATATATATATATATATATATATATATATATATATATATATATATATATATATATATATATATATATACATATACATATACATATTCATATACATATACATGTATATATATACATATACATATACATATACATATACATATACATATACATATACATATATATATATATATATATATATATATATATATATATATATATATATATATATATATATATATATATATATATATATATATATATATAATATATAATTTTTAGTTAACTATGAAAAGAAAACTTTCAAAAAAATAAATAAAATGTTATAGGAACGCTTTTTATTTCAATTTTAAAAAGAAAATGGTATTAAGATATGCAGTTTACTTAAAAATAAATAAAAAAAACCTTTAAACATGAAATATATACATTTTCTCAAAATAAAATAAGAGACTTCATAATCAAATACCAAGAAAATAAGAAGAACCTTTAAAAAAACTTTAAGATTCTAAAAAGAGCACCAATAACAGTTGTAAAAATGTTTAGTATTTAAAATTGTATGTGAATATTATAATGTAAAAACATAAGGATTTCTCCTGTTAACGTAGCTAACCTGTTTCATTGTAGAGAATAAATTTGTCCTCCACAACTCAACAATTGTTCACTTTCAACAGAAGCTGGAGGGCATGACAAAATAAAACAACACAAAATGAAATTATTATAAAAGCAACATTATGGTAATAAAAGTATAAGTACATTTAGCTGTTAAATTAAAGCTTATAAACATCACCTTAAGAATAAACAAATTTGCCTAAACAAAATCAATATGAATAATTTCTCAAAAAAATTCTGCAAAAGTAGTGCATAAAGTTTCGTTTATTTATTGTTTAATTATAATCATAATGCATTATAAAAAATTGAAATGCCTCACTTGGAAAATCGGTTAATTAATAGAAAAAAGCTGATCCCAATACCGATTCTGATTGTACAAAAAGTGGCTGATAAAGCTGATGCCAACTAATTGGTACATCACTAATATATATACATATATATATATATATATATATATATATATATATATATATATATATATATATATATATATATATATATTTATATATATATATATATATATATATATATATATATATATATATATATATATATATATATATATATGTATATATATATATGTATATATATACATATATATAGGTATATACACTTACTAATGTTTCGGAGTTATAGAGTTGAGAAAGGGTTATAACCACAAATAAGTAGCCTCCTTGTCTGTAGTGGCCTTCTCGCCCTTTAGGAGTTGAATTAACAAAAAAAAAATGTTTATATATATATATATATATATATATATATATATATATATATATATATATATATATATATATATATATATATATATATATAACATAATAATGTTATATATAATGTGACATAAGGCGTCTATGCAGGTTTTGAATAATTCAAATTAATTTTTTCGAGCTATATATTTATGTGTTTTTGTCTTTATTAAATTTTAAGTATTAATAATAGTATTCATTTATTTTAGGGATGATAAAAGCAACAAGGTTAGTTTATAATTTTTACTTGTGTTCACATTAAATTATTGCTGCCATAAAATGTTATTAGTTTTTTTTTTATTTTCTGTTTTGCTGTTGTATATTTTTAACTGTTTTGCTGTATATTAACTTCTACCTGTTGTGAAATAACTTCTACCTGTTGTGAAATTTGTCTTTGTTCTGTTGTAGATTTTTTTTATTTTTTATATTTTTTGTTACAAAAATGTCTATGCCTTGTTTATGTGATTTTTTTATTTTATTTTTATTTTTAATACTTCAGCAAAATTTATAAACTATAGAATATTTAAAACTATTTATAATTGTTTTCTAGTTTAAAAGAAAATGTTTTTATGGAAATAAAATGCAAAATACAAAACAATTATTTATTATTTAATTATCATTTTAATCATTTTATTGAACATATAAGTATGCAAAAAAAAAACAACAAGCATAAAAGAAAAAATTGAACTAAAAATAAATAAAAAATTTTAGTTACAGAAAATTAGCTGTATTGCATTTGAAACTAAAAATTTTTAATAAAAAAGCATAAGAAAATATTAAAAAAAAGCAACTTTTTGGAAAGAAAATATTTAAAAAAAAAAACTTATACATATTGTAGGAGTGGATGCAGCATATTTTGATGTTTGAGATAATTTGTATTTAACTCTTGGTTTTACTTTTAAAGTAAAGTAAAATAACTCTTAAGTTTACTTACAAATTAATGTTAACTTGTTATACTATTATAATTTATATATACAAGTTATATTATTATATTTTGCATTCTCAAAGTGTTTAAGTATAAATTTGTTTTAAGTTTGTTTTTAATATTTTTTTCTTTAAAAACGTTTTAGACTTCATGGATGTCAAAGTTTAGTGACAAGTTGGGAATTAAACAGCGAGCACCACAACCGTTTTCTAGGGTACCTGTTCAACCAAATGACATTGTTAGTGGATCTATTGTTGGTAATGATACAATGGGCGTTGAAGAAGATAATAATGACAATAAAGATGAATTAAAAAAAACCAGCTCTGTTTTATCAGGTAACAAAAAGCTTTTTAAAGGTTTAAAACATAGTAATGTATTCCAAAATAAAAAAATTTTAATTTAGTTTAAAAAATATAGCAGCAGTTTTTTTTTTTTAGTCCTCGATGCTGCCATCGCACTAAAGGGTACTGCAAAAGCCAGATTTGTGAGTGTCCATTCTATTACTTTTGTAACTAAAAATTTTTTTTAACTTTAAGAATTGTTGAAAAAAAATGAAACGTGATTAAATCTATTTTTTAAAAAGTTGAAGAAAAAACTTAAAAATATTTATAAAGTCAGAGAAGTAACGCAAAAAAATAATTGCTAAATATTTGACACTATCATCAATAACATTTTCAATAAGAAATTGAAATAAAGTAAATAATTCATGCTAATAAAAATAATGAAAATAAAACAAATGTCATAAGCCAATTATAGGTTTATGACTTTTTTTAAATTATATATTTTGTATGTTAATGGCTATTCTAGACCCTATGGTTTAAATTCTCGCCTTTTAGACGAGTATTTAAACCATATTTGAATTTTACAATATTCATTGGCGAATGTCTACAGTGTCTATACCCTAAGCATTTGGCAAATGTCTACAGTTTCTGTGCTGCAGTCATTTAACACAAGAATTTGTAGGGTGGCATTGTGGTGGAAAGGGTGGCATTTGGTTTTAAACTTTATTTTTAATTGTTATTTAAATTTAAATCAAAATGGTAAAATAAACAATTTTAAAAACTACAAATAAGATAATTAAAAACAAACATTTTAATTTAACTCTAAATAAAATAATTAATTAAAAACAGCTAGGCAAATGTTTTATTTAAATTCTAAATAAAATGATTAAAATTAAAAAAAATGAAAATGGTTTATTATGTTATTTAGTATGAAACTAAAAAGTGTATACTACGATTTATACTACGAAGACCAGCATGCTAAACTTTATCAAAAGCTTTAAAAATGTTGAGAATAATAGTCTTAACCTCTTCATCTAATGCACAATAAAACCTATCAGTTATTACTGTTAACAAATCAGCAGTAGAATGAGAAGGTTGAAGTCCATATTGATGATCAGAAGTTATTAGATTCAAGATGAGAGATTAAGTGTTTGTTAATTAAAGACTCAAAAAATTTGTTTATGATAGGAAGAAGACTAATGCGATGGTAATTAGACAAGTCAGATTGCTCTTCAAAATTTTTGAAACTAGGGATAACTGATGCTACAGAGAACACTTCTCCAAGACTATAACAGGTTGTCTTTTACAGCTTCAACCACAAGCTGTAAAAGAGTCTAGGCAGAAAATTACTTTGGATACAGAAGCTTGAGTGATACGAAAATCAGGCAATGGGTTAATCTGTTTGCCGCTATATCTGGTAGAATGCGACTAGTGAAATCAAGAGATGATTTTGTTGAGAAGTTCTTAGCAAACATTTCAGCCTTTTCTTTAGGGGAGGTGACAGAATTTGAACCATACAAGAGAGGTGGAATAACAGATTTGCCCTTATTATAGATACTGTTAAAGACTCTTTTAAAACAAGATTTTGTGACCTGAGAATAGCGGACTTTGGCGTTAGATAAAATACTTTTACAGTGGTTTCTAGCAATAGTAAATAGACGTCTGTTTTCTGGAGAATTGTTTTACTGATAGATATGAAAGTAACTGTTTTAAATGGAATTTGCAGCAGTACAATGTGAGGAGGAGAAGAGTGAGGCTTGACTGAGAATTGTCCAGCGGGAATAAAAGATTCCATGCCAGTCTGAATCCAAGAAGTTATGTAGGAAGCGCATTCGTTAGCAGGAAGACGAAAGATTTCCACCCAAGGGCTATCATGAAGAAAATCATGGAAAGAATCCCATTCAGCTATAAAGTAGTTATGTGAGGTACAATGACAGAGGGATTCTGATGATGAAAAAAATGAAATAATAGTTTTAGAGAGATCAAACTGTGATCAGAAGCATCTAAGGGTGGAGAAACTGAGCACTGACTAGAATCATAAGACTAAGTCGAGTAGAGAAATTAAATGATTTGGATTGTCCGGAAAGCAAGTTGGAAAGTTGACTATTTGAGTCAAGATTGAGAAAGGCAAAAGCTGTGGTCCTTAATGCCTGCAGAGTCACTGACACTAGAACCAAGATATTCAGTATGATGAGCATTAAAGTCACCTACAACAACAATATTGGCTTAGGGCTTCATCAATTCGATCAGAAATAACATTGTGAAGAGTGCAGTCTTGAGATTAAGGAAAGCGAGACAAAGAGAAAGACAATAGAGTGAAGTGTTGCTAAACAAAAGCACATAAAAGAATAGTCTTTGGGTTCAAAACTAGTTTTCTTATGAATGTAAATGCCCAGGCCAAGCATGTGACTATTAGAGTCTTTACGATTTAAAGGAAGATAACAATTAACACTAAAATCACAAGATGAGACAGCGGAACTTATATTAGTCTCACAATGAGCAAGTAGATCTTATGTGAACTTTGCAAGAGATAAGACTCAACAGAAGAAACGTAACTTCAAAGACCATGAATATTAGTGAATGATAGTGATAACAATGATGATGCTTTTTTGTGTTCTATAGTTTTTGGTCATTTCTAAATTGGTTAAAGAACTTGACTCAAAACGTAGATAGTACTCAGTACACCATTTAATAGTCCAAGTAGTTTTCTCATTATTATTAATAAATTCTAAGCTGTAACAAAAGGCTCTAAAAGTGGCCTCAACAATGCACACCAAATGTATGAACAAGGACACCATCCATGTGCAGCATGGCACTGTTAATACTCTGATATTTTACAGCTGTTGAGAGAATCGGCCTCTCTGAAAGCTACCACCGAGTTTGGAAAACCTGACTACAAGATGGCCTTATAACCATAAAACTGACTTTTAGAGCCGTACCCTCAGTAGGAGATAATAGAATGAGTTGCCTAGTCATAAAACAGAGAAACAACCAAAACCCATACATCAAGTCAAGAAGATCTAGCATTTAACATCCTAAACTGGAAACAATGTATTATAAATACATCTATGCCAGCCTAATAGATGGAGAAGGATTGTGAGGCTGGTCAACAGATAGAATCTGTTTACCAGCCTCACTTAGGAGGCCTTCTACAAGACAGTAACCAGATGCGCTTAACATAAGGTAAGTATTTTTTATTGAGACACCATCTCTAGCCTTTTTCTCTACCAAGAGCCCTAAGTCTTGTTTTTTTTTTTGTTTTGTTATGTTTTTCACCCCCAAGGGGATGTTTTACGTCGGAGTTGACCACTCCTAGTCTTTGCTTAATAAATCCTACAATTCAGATAAAATATATATAAAATAAATAAATATAGTCTACATATATATATATATATATATATATATATATATATATATATATATATATATATATATATATATATATATATATATATATATATATATATATATATATATATATATATATATATATATTAGAATTCAATAAATACGGCTGCGTATAAACTTTTTTTAAATATATATATATTTTTTCTTTAATATATAATTATTTTGTTATTTCGCTGATCTATTGTGATCAGCGTCATCAGGTATAATAAACAAAATCGTTATAGTAAAAACAAACCGTTAAAAAGATAACATTAAAAAGCCATAATATAATACAGAAAAAAACTTTTCAAACAACTGACGTCAGCAGATTTTATTAAAAAATGGCCCCCAGGTTTTGGTTGTTTTTGTTTTTTTGGTTGTAGTGGTAGTTTAGTTTTATTGTTGCAGAAAATATTTTTTAAATTGGGAGTTGATGTGAAAATAACCTTTATGTTTTGCTTTCGAAATTCTTTATGAAGTTTTGGACCAACAATTGGTATCCAAGGTAGTTTTATAAAGGGTTGGGTATCAATTTGTTAAAATGTGGTGTTTTTTGAACCGTTTTTTAAATAGTCTATAGTAATATTATTTAGAATGTTCTTGTCGTGGCCATTTTCAACAAAGATGTCTATTAGAAAATCAATTTCTTTTTGAAGGTGTTTTTGAGAGCATATTCTTTTAGCACGACATAAAAATCCTTTGAAAACGCCAATAATAATGTTAGGATTAATGTTCGAGTTAGGTTTAATAATTATAATAATTTAATCACTTTCGCTGATCACAATAGATCAGCGAAGTATCGAAATAATTATATATTAAAGAAAAAATATACATATATTTAAAAAAAGTTTATACGCAGCCGTATTTATTGAATTCTAACCATATTTTAACGTATAACAAGAAAAATGACATTCAAAGATTATATATATATATATATATATATATATATATATATATATATATATATATATATATATATATATATATATATATAAATATATATATATATATATATATATATTATATATATATATATATATATATATATATATATATATATATATATATATATATATATATATATATGCAAGCTTTCAGCAAGAAAACATTTGTGTTTACTAGTAGTATACTACTACCTGGTGTCAGGTTTAATGGGCTTTTTTGAAGTGTAACAAAGAGTTGTTTTTCATATTCTATGAACATATTCTATATTTCATATATTTAAAAGCTATGTTGTTTTTGTGTTTTTTAAATGTTGTTTTTGTTTTTTTCTTTTGTTAATCAAGTTATTCAATTTTAATAATTATTAAAATTTGAAAGTTTTAATAATTATAATAATTTAAGTTTTTTTACAATAATAATTGTAATAATAATAATAATAATAATAATAATCATATTTTTAATAATTATAATAATAATAATAATAATAATAATAATAATAATAATAATAATAAACATATTTTTAAGACTTTAGTTTCACCTCAAGTAAAGCTTCCTGATGATGTTGTTGCACCTGTTGTAGCTCCGTATTCAAAACTTCCTAGCTTTGATCTTCCTAAAATGCCTATTATGAAGCTATCATACGATATGAGTAATTTAACAGAAGTTAATACTGTAAGTAATTTTGTAAAGCTTTAATGTGATATGAGTAATATTTCAGAAACAACACCCTTTATAAGTATGATTTAAGATTTAAAATGTACATTTTTAATTGAGTTGTTTATAATGGAGGCAATTTCTAAACTTTACAACGTTAAATTTAATTTTTTAACTTTTTTAACTTTTTTTTTAACTTTTTTTTTAACTTTTTTTTAAACCAAAAGTTATATTGATTAAAAAGATTGATAAAAAGTTTGATTAAAAAAATGACTTTTTTAAGTATTCAAAAAATTTTTAGATACATATAATATAAATATATAAATATTATAATATAAATAGTTATAATATAAATAGGTAACTTTTTTTATTAGTTTTTTTTTTTCAGCTAGCATAAACGACACTGTATAATTTTTTATTTAAAGGTAAGTGACACTCCCTTATATAATGGATCAACAAATCGTTCTCTAAATCGACCTCAAGTTTCAAATAATAGTTTATTGGTTTCACCATTTTTAAATTATAATTCCGAGTCTCCTCAGTCATCTTTGACATCTTCAAACTTTACGTCAGTCAGTCAAAATAATGGTCCTTCAAAAATGACAAACTTTAAAAAGTAAGAAAAGTAGATGATTTTGTGTGTGTTATTGTGTTTTTGTGTTATTTTGTTATTGAATGTATTGGTTTGATATTTATCATATGTATTTTAAGGTTACCACCAATCGGAATTGATTACTTACAAAAAGCAAATTCAAATCCTTCTTGGAATAATCAAATTTATGATCAGTCTCCTTTTACATTAAACAAAAATTCAGATATTTTTTCTCTCTCAACTATTAGCAGTTCAATAAATGCTGCACACGCTGCAAACGCTGCACACAAAAAAGATTTTCATTATCTTGCTGGTACTCAATTTAATGCTGCTCAGCCAGTATCTGAGTTGGATAACACCACCAATGGTAATTATTTTTAGATTTATTTTAACTGTCAATTATTTTTACTAAACTCTGTTTTTAATCTTCTTTTTTATATTTTAGATATTAATATGTTATTGAAACAATTATCATTAGAAAAATATCGATCTACTTTTGAAAGAGAAGAGGTGATTTTTTTTTATTTATCATTCAAGTAGATTCTTTAAACGTAAAATATTTTTTCAAGCTTAATACAATATAATATAAAATAATATACTGTATGCAACTGCAAATCACGTTATAAGTTTGCATTTTTATGCACATAGTTATTAATGACGCATAAAATTAAAATTAAAATAAAGACCAAAAAAACAAAAAGTGAAAATGAGTAGTAAAAATAAAATAAATAGTAAAATTTATGAACAGAATCGCTTATATTTAAATCTAAATGAAAATTAAAATAAAAGTAATTAAATTTATAAAAACTTTATGCTTTGTATGTGAACAGTTTTTTTTCCTCATCCTCCGCTTAGTTTGGGAAATAATATCCCCAAATAAACACTGGGTTCGTCACTGACTAATGAATGAAAAATAAAAGCAATTACAACATCGAAACAGTTATCGATAAGTTTGTTAAATAATAATTGTCGAAAAGATTTACAACAAAGAAAAGTTTGTTAAATAATAAGTTTGAAATACAAACAGTTTTAAGTAATATTAATTATGTACATAAACATAAATATGTATTATAAACAATAAGACAACAGCCAAACAAAATAGTGTAACACCAATAAAATATTGATTAAAGTTATAAAATTAAATAAAGTAAAAAACTAAATAAAAGTTAAAAGTATAAATCATAGTAATAATATGAATAAATATTATATATTAAAATAAATAATTTAATAACAAATAAATATTCTGGAAAAGTCCATAGTTTTATACCCAACTATATGTGAAAACTGGGAACATGATCCTGGAACTTTATTTTTTTTGTAGAAATATATACATGTGTGTATATATATATATATATATATATATATATATATATATATATATATATATATATATATATATATATATATATATATATATGTATATATATATATGGACATTTCCAAAAAATCACACACGGAAACTCGTATATGTTTTTACTTTTATTTTCATAAAAATAAAACTAGCGATCTCCAATTTACTCTCATTTAATTTTAATTAATATAAATATTTTGTAAACAAAAAATAGTAAGCATTATTAATGTTAACAATAAACAAATAAAGTTTAAAATGTAATCACGCACGGAACAGAAAAACTTCTATTTTAGTTACTAGATAAATAAACTTTAATTCCTCGGACAATATAAGTTTCACCGACATACTTTTTTTTTTTAAATAATATTTTAAACATTAGTAAAGATTTCCAGAAAGTTACAGGATTGCACTATGAATCATAAAGTCACAGCAATCGTTTAAATGCAGTTTATGAACGATCGCGTACCGAAGTCACGCACGGATGTTGCAAATTTGTCGATTTCATGTTGTTATTTTTATGAAAATAAATTGATTGTGAGTATTTCAAGTGAAATATTATACTTCTGTGACTCATATTTAATATATTTTCAATGAGAAACGGCAGTCATCAATTATTTCTAGCTAGAGTATGGCGTTTTGAAAATTATTGTATATTTTTCAAAATGTAGCGATGTTATTACTCAAAAAAATAAAATTGTAAAAATGTGTATATTTAATTTGTTCAGATAGCCTAAAATATGATAAAAATATTTTTGTTATAATTGTTCTTTAAGAAAATCAAAATAGTATGTATATTGCATAAAGTCCCAGCTTTTAATTGCTAAAATAAAGAAAAATAAAAAACACACACAGAAATGGAAATGCCCATATATATATATATATATATATATATATATATATATATATATATATATATATTATATATATATATATATATATATATATATATATATATATATATAGATATATGAGGGATTATATTCAAGTGTAGTATTTAAATTATAAACGCTATTCTAATAGAAGTTTTTAATAGAAGTCTAAATGATTTTTCCCTAAAAACACTTTTTATATTATAAAAAACTTATACATAATAACTTTTATCTAACAGATTATAACGATGTATTAATAAATAAGTAATAAATATTTATGTTTTGTATTTATACATGGTCTCGATAATCTAAGAAATTCTCTTTGTAAATATAATTTTGGATCTTATTTTTATTTAATTTTTTTATGTATTTCATTTACAAATATATAAATTTTAAATTTTGTTTTTAATAATTTTATAAATAATATCAATTTATTATATTATAATATATATTACTATAATATAAACTATTTTAAAATTTTATTTTTTTAATTTATATATTTTGCGTATTTCAATTAAACAGGTTGATATGGAAGCACTTAATGAAATGGATGATGGAGATTTAAAACTTATAGGAATTGATCAAACAATCAATCGTGATAGAATTTTACAAGCTGTTCAAAAAAAAAAGGTTTTTTTATTATTTATATTATTTACAAAAGAAAAGAGTTTTCACAAAATCTTTGCTCCTATCATGCTGTTTTAAAGGAAGATTAGAAAGGCATTGTCACTTTTATCCACTATTATTGATTTTTTTTTAACTATATTGATTTAGATTAAATCTCCACATAACTATCAGATGTATGACTCAAAAGGAACAATGAATGGTATCTATCAAATAGGGAGATAATGTTATGTACATTTGTGAGCTTGTACAAAAAAACTAGACTATAAGGTTCACATTTGTTCTAAATTTTTTATTTTGTTAATGTCTTTTTTTTTCACTTGTTAATTTTTTAATTTTTCTTTTTGTCCTTACAAGTTATTTAAATTTTCTTCAAAGTTCTCAGATTTATTTTGAATTGCATCATAGATGTATTGAATTGCATCATAGATGTATTGAATTGCATCATAGATGTATTGAATTGCATCATAGATGTATTGAATTGCATCATAGATGTATTGAATTGCATCATAGATGTATTGAATTTCATCTTAGATGTATTGAGTTGCATCATAGATGTATTGAATTGCATCATAGATGTATTGAATTGCATAGATGTATTGAATTTAATGTTTAAAATTATCTGTCAAATCTACTTCGATTTACATCTATAAATCTCTTATATGTCCTTGTATAGAAAAATGTTGTCATGGACTGGTTTTTTTAATGGTGCTTTTTTCTCTTTTAGACATGGTGCAAAAGTTTATTTTTTTTAACTTTAAGCAATTTTTTTGTTTTTTAGTTTCTTTTTATCTTGTTGTTTTTTTGGTGCTTTTGTTATTTTTTTCCCGAAATTTTTTTCTGATCTAATTTGCAGCTATTTGGATATTCTGGTTGTTTCTATTCTGTTTGGATATTCTGGTTGTTTCTGTTCTGTTTGGGTATTCTGGTTTGTTTTTTTTTCTCTTTTTCTTGTAACTCAATTCAAAAATATATTTCAAATTTAAACAAAATGAATTTGAATTTTTTTGTTTTCTACAAATTCTGTGCTTCTACTAGCCTGAAGTTTTTTTATGTTTGTTGGAACAAAAAAAGTTTTTTTATGCCAGTAGGAACATTTTTAAACTAACCACCGTATTTTAGCTTTAAAATTATCAATTTTCAAAAACTTGATAAAAAACTTATTGCAAAGATGTTTTCCAGCTTATCCTACCCAAAGCCACACACTCCTGCTTTTTTTCATCTTTTTTTATCTAGACATCTACTTGGCTTCCTGCATAAATATGTGTAAATTTGTGCTTATATTTTACATTTTTGTGTGCATTTTTTGGTAAAATAGAAAATATCTGAGTAAAATCTATTAGAATTTTTATTTGTATGTTTAAATGTAAAATACGACTCATCGTCAATGACAAAATCACAGTTTCTGGATTTGTGACAAATTTTTTCACAATTGCAACTGCTCTAACTGTTTATCAATGCGATGGAGAACTTTTTTTTTTTTAAGTTTTTATGATGTAGGAATGACCGCACTTGAATTTCTTTTAAATTTTTCTTGTTGAAGTTTCAAACCAGTTGTTCAAGAGATCTTTTAGATGATGTTCCTAACAGTCATAATTTTTAGTTTTCTGCATGATCCAAGTTTATGAGACAATGGATTATTTAAAATTTTATTAAAATATTTTGAGCTTCACAGTCAGCTTAGTGTTGCTAGAATGATGCCATTCAGTGGGATGACCATTTAAGTCACTAATAATAACTATTGGCTCGATCAATTTAATCAGAATTTTGGTAAGTCTTGTCTTGGTAGTCGTGGTAGGAAGGATAACAATAAAAAACAAAAAGAAAGATGATTGAGTAAAGATTGGTGCTAAGCAACACATATAAGAATAGTCAGAGAACTCAAATTAATTGCACAACCAATCAGATTTTACGAACAATCAGATTTCACAATCAATAGAATAGCTGATAGATATGTATATGTCCAGGTCAAGCATGTGATTATTGGATTTTTTACAAAACAAATGATAATAGCCAGCAACACTAAGATCCAAATATGAAGCACCAGAGTTTTACAAAAGACAAGTAGGTCTTCACAAAAGGTCTGGTGACTTTTAAAAAGTGGTCTGATTCAACTGATGAAAAGTTTGAAAACTGTAAATGTTTGTAAAGGATTAATTAAAAAAGAAGAGTTTTTAAAAACTTTTGCATTTTTAAGTCTAAAACATTTAGTTAGCAACTGGGATTTGATTATTAACACTGTTTTCTTTGACAGTTGTCAAGGGAAACAGTGACACTGTTTTCATTGACAATTGTTTGTGTAAGCAATCATGCAAAAAAATTCCTTGAACATAATTTGATATTATTGACAATAGTCATACCAATAAATCCAAGATTTCAAGTAGCCACCACCTACATTACCTTCTTGACCAAGTGATCATAAAAAAAATTCTGTTGAAGGGTGACCTCTTCAGTTAGATTTGTCAGACTAATGCAGCAAGCAACAAGGTAATTTGGGCACTTGGTTTTCCTGCAACTAAATTTTTTCTGAAAATAGTAACCAATTGTTTTTTTTTTCCAGCAAAACATAGTTTTTTGCAATCTGATGCTATTGCTAATTAACTTAGCAACATTTGGTGCAACATTTGGTGCAACATTTGGTGCAATATAAGCAGCTTAAGATTTTTTTTAAGGTTGATTGTTTGAAATCATGTGGGTAGCCCTTGCCCAAAAGGGTTAGGTAGTCACTACACCTCTTTATTGTTCCTTCTTGTTAACTTTCAGTGAAAAAATAATTGTCACTTTCAGTTTAATTAAAGTGCTCAATTTTTTTTATTTTTTTTTTCATTATCTTCTAACATGGCTGCAAGCAACCACTAATTAGAGTTGGAAGTTACTGGAAGAGAAAAGATGAAGTTTATAAAGCAAGATAACGATTGACAGATGACTTAAAAGATTGCAAGTTATATGAATCAGGAAAGCAAGATAAAGGAAGCAAATTCCAAAGAGCTGGTGTTCAAGGAAAAAAACTAGAGGAATAAGAGTTTTTAGAGCATTTAGGAACAGTCACAGGAAAAGGATGAGACTTAATTGAATGACGAATAACACAAGAATGAATTTTAGTAGATAGCACAAGAGACGCTAGCTCTTTAGAGCATTGCCCATTATAGTATTTGTTGAAAAGAGAAAGAAAAGCAACATGACGATGTGATATGTGATATGTTGTAATGGTTGGAGGTTGGCTGCAAGAGCAGGTACAACTATGTTTACAATGTGTTTAGCTTGTCTAAAAGAGAAAGGATATCATTAGAAGATCTGCCCTAGATATGGCAACAGTATTCCATACAAGGCCAGATTTGAGATTTATAGAGATAGAGAATAGAATCCAGAGCAAGAAAGTGTCAAGCTCGATAAAGAGATGCAACCTAAGCAGATTTTGCAACGGATTTGATATATAGATTAAAAGATCGGAAGCTGCAGCTTTCATACCTTGTTTCTGATCAAATTTTGATGGTAGAGAAAGAAAAAAAGAGGCTCTTATCCTTTCTGCAAATGATTGGTTGACATGTCCAACCAATGTCATTGGTTGACATGTCTCTCGAATGCTTTGAAGAAGTCTTCCATCATAATGTTTATGCAATAGATTTGAACAATTCTTTCTGTATGAGTTGTTATGAGATGCTTTTTGTATTTTTTTATACACAGTTTGAGTCAACATTCCTGATATTATTATGAAACCTATAGATTAGGCAGTTTAAATCTTTTTTGTTTGTCTATATCAGGACTTCCCAACCTTTTTGTACTCTAAAGCACGTTTTAAAATATTGGTAGGGTGGCATACACAGCCATATTTTAAATAGTTCCATCAACTAAACTCAATCTTGCTTGACTTGTCATTTAGTAAAGTCTCATTTTACTGTATCTGTACCTGAATGCTCTAAAAACTTTTATTCATCTAGTTATATTCCCTGCACTTCAACGCTTTGGAACTCTCTTCCATCTTCATGTTTTCCTAACTCATACAACCTTTAACTTTGCAAGTCTTCTGTCAACCGTTTCTTTGCTTTATAACTCTATTCTTTTTTTCTAGTAATTCTCTTTTTATTTTGATTTACTCCCAACAAGGCTGGAGCCTTGTTGGGAATAAATCAGAATAAAAAAATAAAATAAAAAAAATTGACAAACTCCTTCCTTAACTTATTATTTTCCCATAATTGATTTTCTTAAATCATAATCATTAATAAATGATTAACAAAAATGTTTCAAAATAACAAAATTACTTTTCAAATTTACATACACACAGAGAAATGTATTTACAAAAGGTAAACATGCTAAACAAAAGTAACAAATATAAACAAAATATTTTAGTAAAAAAATATAATATCAATATGTCAATGTGATCTTTGGCATTGCATATGATTAGACTCATAGGAGAATGATAATCTTGTACTAACAAGATTATCATCTTTATGATTGTTTGCTAAAGCAAACAATCATAAAGATGCTTATTGGTGAGTTGAGATCTATATCTAGATTTAGTTTTATGTTTGAAAACAATTATTCACATTTGTTTTCAAATTCAGATTGTGAATTTGAAAACAAATTCACAATGATAAAAATGATTTAATTTTATATGCCGCAAAAAAATTTTCTCTGTCCACTCTATTCTAAAAGTCCTCTGATATTAAGAGTTTTAACAAAATATAATTCTTAAGGTCTAAACTTTCTTATTCTAGTTCTTCTGTCTTTCCTTGAACAAAATCTGGAATACATCCAGCCATTTCCTATACATTTATTTGGCAAACAAAAGCTACAAAAGGAAACAGAAGCTACAGAATGAAACAATAGACTCATGTAAACTGCAAAAATCTTTTCAAACTGTTTTTTAAGCACTTTAAGGTGCTTAATAAAAAATGACGCTTTTAATTCATTGTTCCCTCTTTCATTTTCTTTTTCTTCATATGTGGAAATGAACAAGAGACCTGATCTGCAGATGTGATATTTACAAATCCAATTTAGCTTTAAATGACTTTACAGAGCTTATTATTTCAGCTATATTTTTTTCTTTTCCCTGCAATATCAAATTGTAACAAGAAACAGTCACATATTTCTAAGTTATTCTCTAGCCAAGTTTGTGTGTCTGTTAAAATTACATATATTCTTCTTGTGACGATTTGTTCGAAACTCTAATTAACAAACAATTACCAGTTCTACTTACATTTACAAATACTTCTTTAAATAATTCACCATCAATGAATGGTTTCTTCTTTTTTGTCAGCAAGAAATTTTGAATCATTCTGCGGGCGCCTAGTGCCTGCGAACTTTGGTATTATGGTCTATATTAGCAACTGAAAAACTTTAGAAAATACTGGTGCAAAGGAAATATTAATTTATTAAGGAAAATTTGCTAACTATGTGTTGTCTAGAAAAATAAAAATATATAAAAAATAATATATACTTCCACAAAACATTTTCTAATGACAATAATATGAGTAATTGAAAACATTCAAAAATTTTCTGAGGACTATAAAAGTAAACAGAAAAGATGTTAAAGTAGGTTCAGGTAGAAAGAACAGTGAAAGTCTAATTAAGAAAACTTTCAATACCACTTAAGTCATACTTTTTTCAGTTCCTTAAGTTCAAAACTTTTAAAGATATAAAAGTAAAACATCTTAACAGGTGACAACTTAAAAACAAGACTGGATTTAAAGACACATATCTCCTTAAAGGAATAAGATTTTAAAAATAGGAAAACTGTTTTAGAAAGTATTTTTATTCTAGTTTTTAAATATTTTATGTGTTTTTATTTTTTATAGAAAAATGAATAAAAAAATAAATTCAAAACAAGAAGAGATTAGAAAACGTGTGTATGATTTTTATTTAAATTACAAAAATGCTGGTAAAAAGTTCACTTATGACCACTTTAAAGTTGAGAATATACCTAAAAGTACTATCTACTAGATAATTAAACGTGCTGAAAGTGAATCTGGGTACCAAAGAATTTAAGGAAGTGGACTAAAAGCTAAAAAAATGACCAGGACAAACATTGAAAGGCTTAAACTCATGTTTGACCATAAAGACAGAGTTTCTCAACGACAGGCAGCTAAAAATTTCCACTGTACTCAGCAACACATTAGTAAAAATTAAAAAAAAGAACAAATATTAAATCAAGAAAAAAAATGATGATTTTAAAACGCTCTGACCAGCAAAAACCAGTAGCTAGAACTAAGTGCAGTCGATTGTGTCAGAAATTCAAAAATCGTAGACCAATCATTCACGATGAGTCTTATTTCAAGTTAAATCACTCCAGTATCAATAAAAATGATATATTTTATACTAGTGATGTAAAATCTACTCCATCTACAGTTAAATATCAAACAAAACAAAAGTTTTAAAAGAAATTACTTCTATAGATTGCTTTTTCCGAAAATTTCTCAGTAATTATGTACCTAAACAAGGAAAACATGCATTATGTTGAGAAAGCAGATAACCCTGCAAACTTGCCAGAATGTCGCCCTATCGAAAATTTATGGAGTATTTTGAAAGGCCTTGTCTACAAGAATAATTGGCATGCAGAAATTCTTAAAAAATTACTTTCTAAAATTAAGTATTGCCTTAATAAAATTGATATTGAGTTCATACAGAGACTAGCTCAGTCTATACCAGGCCTAGTTGAAAAAGTCAGAAGAAATGGTTTAATTGAGAATAACTGATTATATATTTAAAAACTAGAATAAAAATACTTTCTAGAACATTTTTCCTTTTTGTTTTATCTTATTTCTTTAAAGAGATATGTGTCTTTAAATCCAGTCTTGTTTTTTAGTTGTCACCCATTATAAGATAAAAGATAAAAAAATGAAAGAAGTAAAAAAATAAAAATTTAATTAAAAATTAAAAAAAAAAATGTTTGTTTTTATTTTATCCAAAGGAATAACTTCTTTAAAAAGTTTTTTTTGTTTTTTAGTTGGCAAATTGAATTTTATTAAGAATAATCTTCGCTTGCAATGTTTATCTATCTGCATGATTATTTACTAATCTATCTGCATGATTATTTATGGCGATTTAAAAAAGAAAATGTTTGTAGTTTCATAATAATCTTTTAAAGATATATGTAAACTTAAAAAGTAAACCTATATATAATAAACCTAAATTTTTTTTTTTTTTTTTTTTATTTAATCTTTTTTGCTTGCATATTTGGTTAAAGGTTTATATTTAATTTTTTATAAAACATATTTTTTCTTAATACTTTTTATTTTCAATTTTTGGTTTTTAGAAATTTTTTTAAATTAGTGTGTATTGTAATAAAAAAGTTTTGTAAACTTTTTGTAAATAAAATTTTTTTAGTACAAATAATTTTATCTTGCTATAGTTTATATATCCCCTATTTTCTGGAAAGTTTGACTATTGAAATTTGTAAATACAAAGTTCGACCATTGACATTTGTAAAAGTTGTATTCAGGATTTGATATACAATCTCAAATATTATTATACTTGCTATCATTATTTAAAAGTTAGTTTCAAAAGAAACTTCTTTTATGTAAATTTTATGTAACTGTTTATACCCATTGATTTTAGCCATGTCTTAATGCACAGGAATGAGTTTTTTTTTAGTTTTTTTAGGTCAAAATGCTTTCATTTATAGAAATTCTTAAAGATTGGTTTATAAAAAGTATTGTTTATTGTGTTGTCTTTTTTTTTCCTCTACTTTAGTTTATAATTTAGTTTTAAAATTTCTAATTTAATTTAACACATTTTGTTTTAAATTAAATCAGAATCTTCTAATGATAAATTTTTGAATTGAAAAGTGATTATGAAGTTAACTGAGCAATTATATGCTCGAAAACAAAGTATATTATATGGTGTCAAACGTGGTAAAGTACCTGCTGTTCTTCGACCACGTGCTCCTCCTTTGAAAAAAGTTGCTGGAAGTAATTTTTTATCCATTTTTTATCATTTTATATAATTTTGAAATTTTTTTTAATTTAAAATTTAATTTTTAAAATTAAATATTTCTAATTTTTGATTTTAAATTTTTATTGTTTTCGTTTTAGCACCATCCTGCGTTGAGCAAATGTCAAGTATGTTTGATTGCTGGAAAGTTAATGGTCACAGTGACGCATCCTGCTCAAAAGAGATAGAAGCATTTCTTTTGTGTGCTAATGAATCAGTAAGTTGATGCTTTTTTAATGTGTGAAATTTAAATTTGTGTAAACATGTAGTAGAATGAATATATAACATGTGATTTACAATGATACTACAATACTTAACGCTATCATACATTGTGCAAATAGCACCTATATTTTTCAATAAAGTAAATATAAAAAAACAGTTTATTGAAGTTGATAACAATAACTATTATAATAATAACTAGAAACCATGAAACTGATTATCTTTTTTAGTTTTTTTTAATAGCTTTTTTAGTTTGTTTTTTTAACTCATCATTATTACAGTATTACTAAATTTCTTCTTACAGTGTATCAGGTAATATTTTTAAGATTATTGATTCTTCCTTTCCAATCGTAGCAAAGTTGTCCTCAATAGACAGCACTCTTCTTCATATCCTTTAACTTTAGGGGTTCATCAAGGTTCTATCCTTGGCCCTAAACTCTTTTTTAATTTACATTAACAATCTTCCAGAAATTCTCACATACAATAAAATATAATTATAAGTACATACTTGTCCAAGTGCGGTGCAGGAGCCAAAAGTCTACAGATGAATAAAGATATAAAAACAGGAGGGATGAGATTCACAACATAAGATGGCTGCATACAGCAGAGTAAATATAAAAGCAAATAGTAAAACCAAACACTTTACAAAGCAAATTGAAGCAAACCTGAAGTGTTATTTAATAAAAATTACTTAAAGAAGACTTTCATAAAGTCTTCTTTAAGTAATTTTTAACTTTTTGGTTAACTATTGGTCATAAAGTTTATGACCAATAGTTAACCAATCATTAAAGAATAGTTAATAAGACTTAAGAACTTCTAGTTTCTGCATTTACATACATAAAAAATTGCACAAATTTCACAGGTGGCATTATTTGCTGATGATACTACCATTTATTCTTGTCTTGATAAGAACCCAACACTCTGTTGGAAGGCATTTAGGCTTGCAAAGGATTTCACTTCTGCTACAGCATGGGGTTCACAGTGGCTGGTGAACTTTAATTCAGATTAGAAATACATTTTAATCAAGTCACCTCTTTTAAGTCTTTTTCCAGTGTGCTTAAGCCAAGTATTTTATTTCTTGTTTCATAGTGTTGTTTTCGAGTCTGTGGTATACATTTAGCGGCGTAACGTTGAGCTTGTTCAAGTGCAATAATATCACTTTTAATGTATGGACACCATGCCTGTATCGCAAATTCAAGAAGGTTTTTATAAATGTTACGTATAGTATCTTAAATATTTTTTTGTTGATGTAATGAAATTTTTTTTTTCAGCATTACAAGCATTGAATAAGCTTTTAATGTGCAATTAACTATGTGACTTTTCCATTTGAGATTTGATGACATTGTCATTCCAAGATCTTTTTTGCTATCAGAGACTGCTAATATTTTGTCGCCTAGTTTATAAATATAGTCAAGGTTATTGTTTCCAAAGTGCATAATACGACATTTTTCACTATTAAATTGTAATTGCCAGATCTCTAACCATTCGCAGGCTTGGTTAATTTGATTCTGAAGCAATTGACAATTCTCAGAGCTAGCTACTTTCCCGATTAACTTAGTGTCATCAAAGAGTTAAGAGTGTTCTAAAATCTCTGGTAAATCGTTGATATCTAAAATGAATAAGATTAGACGAAAATTATGGAATAAGATATATATAACACTAATATCTTGTATCGTATTTTAAAGCTCATTAATATGTAAAATATATTTTTTGGATTATATTTTACATATTGGATTGGATTATGACATCGCTTTATAACATTCAATTGTCTATGATCTGCGCTTTTATATTTTCCCAAAAGTTATTATATATATATATTAAATATATTTTTGAGTATAGTTATTAAAAAATACTAAATAATTTTTTTTTACACATTTTGTCATGTTTATTTATTTTTTGCCTTTGTTTAATTTACTTATTTTTTCTTTACACTTTTTTTTATATATATTTTCACAACTATATAATAGTTAAAAATTTTTTAACATAATAAAAGCAAAATATACTTCCGTTTAAAAAATATATATATAGAAAAAATATCGCTCATTTAAAAAAGAAATAAATAGAAAAATGAAAAAAAAAAGTTTAAATTTAGGATGCATTAGTTGAATATATTATGAAAGACTTGTTAACATTATATTGTTATAGGGAGCTCGTAGAAGACTAAATAAGTCTTATCATCGCTAACACTTAATAACATATATAGATAAAAGTTAGCAAAACACCTTATAAAATATATAATCAGATTTATACTTATATAATGAGATTTATACTCAATATATATGTATGTTATGTAAAATAAACTCCAGCTAAATTAAATTAAAAAGTAAAGTAAATTTTTTTTTATGGTATTATCTTAATTTTTTTTGTTCTAAGTTTAAGTGTAAAGTTTTAATTGAAGTAAGCTGAGGTAATCGAGGTAAACTGAAATGACAAAGGTTTTAACTGTTGTTAGCTGATATTGAACTGGAAAAAGGACTAAAATTACAAATTTAAATAAAAATCTTTAGCACGGACCTGTCATGAAACAGTTTAATTTTCATTTTTTGTGTATTCTTTATCGTAAAAGATATTTAATTAAAATTTATTTTTTTGCGTCAATAAGAATTTTTTCTACAAGCATGGCTCTTCTACCTAAATTAGCTCGTATACTTATAAGTTTTTAATTATTGTTATTGCTTTTTTCTAACAGCAAAAAAAAAAAAAAAATTAATATTTATTCAATTTATCATTTCAAGATGATTATAAAACAGAATGATCTTGATGGCCTTTTAGATAATAAATTGAACATTTTTATTATCATTCATTTTTTTTCTATTTTTATTCTTTTTATTATTTATTATTTTCAGATTGAAAATTATCATGTTGCTAAAAAAGAAAAGAAAACTGGATGGAACCAAGAAAAACTTGACGAACTTATAGCAAGATATACTGTTCCGCGTAATAAAGATGAGAAAAAACAGTTTTTACCGATAAAATAATGATATTACCTCATAAAGTTTATTATCTTATAAAACATAGTTTATAGTTTCTAATGAATTAAGTCAAAGTGCTTGCACAAAATAATTTTATAGCATATTGCTAAAAAACGTCAAAGTCATATTTTAAAAGTTTTGAGAAAGTATTGATATCTTTAAAAAGTTATTAAATAAAGCGATCAATAAATAAATCTAAATTAAAAAACAAACATTTTATTTTATGTAAACTATCAATAAATCAAGTTATAGCTTTTTTTTTAATAATTTTTGCATACTTTACGTAAAAAAAAAAATTAAATGATTAATGAAGACTTTCTCAAAACATTTTAAATATGAGCGACTTGAATGAAATCAATTGCGACTTGAAGTCATATTTTTTATAATCTTAATTTATCACTCTAATTATAATTCCCTTGGAAAATATGACTCATGAAGCTAAAATTTAAGGTTACGGATTTAAGGTTACCCCTAAGTTTACCCCCAAGAAATTTGATACAGCCTACCCCGTAGATATAATCACTTTAATCGTGTATTTGAATCAAGACTTCAAAGTCCTAATTATACAGGAATTTTAATTTACAGAAATTATCACCGCGGTGCCCATTCACGGCTGTTTCAGAGTGAGCTTTACGGCTTCTTGTTTTTTTTTTTTTTTGAAAATTTTGACTTAAGGGGTGTTACTAAAACATTTATAACTTTTGAAATATTAGAGATAATTTTGTTTTGTAAAAAGAATAAAAACAACAATAAAATGTTTTATCATACGACATTTAATACAATAGTAAAAAAACTTCTTTTAGTTTATAAAAAGCGCGACAAATGATGAACTTGGTTAAATTTCAGTAATTTGTTGTTACTTTTTATCAAAAAAAAAAATCAGAAAAATATATTTCTGATAGTTATTATTAAATACACTCATTGTTTAACTATTATTAAAATAAAAAAATTTTACTTAATTGTTAAAGGAAAACTAAAACAGTCTTTATTAAAGTCTGCAAGCAAACCGCATTTCTTGCAAAATTATGAAAAATGTTGTTAAAGGGGGGATTAGCTGTTGAATGAGCACGTTTTTAAGTCTAGAAGTTCTTGTTCTAGAAAATAATTCACTAAGTTTATAAATTCAATGCATTATAAAATAAAACCAGATTTCAAGTTTGAAATATTTATTCTTAACATTTTAAGATAAAGCCTTTAAAAAACTTGAGCAATTCTTTTCTACAGTTTTAATAATATGGTGTTAAGTTGTTAATAAATAACGACTCTAATAAAATAATTCATGACCAAAACTGAGTTAAAGTTTTTGAATTAACCTCGCTTTTGGTAATAGAATTATTTTATGGCACTTGAATCAATCTTTTTACACAAAAAATAAACGTTTCTTTAAATATACATATAGCTAATTTAAATTGTTTGATAATGTGTATTCTCATAAAAACTTTGATTGATCCATTAATAAGTTCTTTAAGTAGAAAACGATCTTTGAACACCCAGTTGATAATAGATTTATGCACCATTCTAAAGAAAAAACCGCCTAATTTTGTTTATTTTATACTTCAAAATTCGTCTCGCTAAGAAAGTTGTTCATAAAATTTATTAAATATTTGCTTGGGACGAACAGAATTAAAGGTCACGTGATTGTTTTGATGTTTTGCGCATTAAACTAGAAAAATTTGTTTCTAAACTAGTCAAGTTTGAAAACATATTTGATAACATAGCTAGAGGTACAGCAAACAATTTTTTGTTTGCTGTACCTCTTTATTATAATTTCAATAATTTGGTGCGGATTACAAAAAAAATACGATTTTCATTATTTAATAATAAAATTAAAAATATAAATGCATTAAAAAATAGTTAAAAAATAAAAAATAAGCAATCCGCATCAAAAATTAGATAGAATAGATGTTTATTTATAAATGTTCCAAATTTCAACCATTAGGCATGTAGTTATGTTATGAAATCTTAGTTGACCCAAGACAGGTTTTCTGTAAAAGCCACAAAAAACAGAAAAGTGATCCCAAATCATTAGCAATATTTAAACATTATTATTTTTATTCCGTTTAATGTAAGTACTTATTTTTAAAAAAAAAAGATAGGTCTTTTATATTTTTTTATTTGAAGATGAAAGCGCTTATAGGAAAAAAACACTATTATTTTAAAGTTAGTGCATTTTTAAACTTTTTTTGCGGAAATACTTTTTTTTTTGATAAACACAAAAATATTTGTGACGTCAAGCTCGCTTTTATGTTGAGTGAAAAAGCCGTGCAGTGGGCCAAAATCATTATTTGCTGGACAAAAGTAATAACTTTTAAATTATTAATCAGATTTTTCCCATTATTGCCAGGTTGAGTATATTTCATACTACGAATTCAATGGTACCATTAGATTGTTTATTTAGTTGCTATGGATATCTATATTCCGTAGCAACAGTGTATTTTGCATAGTTACGTAAGTTAAGAGACTTTCTTAAAATTTCAAATTTATAAACTAAACTGATGTTATTGCTACGATGCTATTTTATATGTTTAAATGATGACACAAACAAAAATTAATAATTTTTGGTGTTGCTATGCCGTTTTGGGCTCTTAGAAACCAGTTATTATTATTTTTTTATGAAACTTGCTTATTTCAAAATTTCTTTAATTCAAAAATGAAATTAAAACTTTAAAAACAATCTTACCTGTAAGGGTTTATAGACACAGTTAATTAAATTCGAACCAATTGCATCTATGTAGTTCACATGTCCTTAGCAACCAAATAAAAATCAACAAGTGTTAATACAGTTAGAACTATTGAATACTTTATAAAGTATATGTAAGAGTACAAGCAAATTTGTATATTCAAAAAAACGTTTATTTACATAACATGCATTATTTTATTATAAAATAATAAATACCGAAAAGTAAACAACACCTTGAATACCAACTAATATCAAAACTATGCAATTGCAATTTATAGTTAGTCAAAAATTGGAACCTCTTAAATTACATTTAGAATGCCAATTAGAAAAGCATTGCTCTTAGGATAATGATATATATATATATATATATATATATATATATATATATATATATATATATATATATATATATATATATATATATATATATATATATATATATATATATATATATATATATATATATATATATATATATATATATATATATATATATCTGTGTGTGTGTGTGTGCAAGCAACCACTAAGTTGGAAGTTACTGAAAGAGAAAAGATCAAGATTGAGCAAGATAATGATTGGCAGACGACTTAAAAAGTTGTAAATTATATGAATCAGGAAAGCAAGATTGTTGATGCAAATTATATGAATTAGGAAAGCAGTGGTTAAAACACTTGCTTTATAAGCATGAGATCCAGGTTCGAAACGAACTCTGGACATATTTTCGCGTCAAGGTAAGGAAGGAGGCGTAAACTTCCTGTTTAAACGCACTTCAGTGGTGCTCTGTGACAAGACCGTAAGGTCTTCTTGGGGCACCTAATAACAATATTAAAAAAAAATTCATTTATTCAAGATGAAAGAAGCAAATTCCAAAGAACATATGTTCCAGGAAATAAACTAGAGGAATGAGAGTTTTTATAGCACTTAGGAACAGTCACAGAAAAAGACTTGATTGAATGAAGAGTAACACTAGAATGAATTTTAGTAGATAGCAGAAGAGACGTACTTGTAGAAAAGAGAAAAAGAAACAACATTACAACAATGTGGTAATGTTTGAAGTTTGACTGCAAGAGCAGGTCCAACTATATTTACAACGCGTTTTTACACCCTGTCTAAAAGAGGGCATCATTAGAAGATCCACCCCAGATTTGACAACATTATTCCATACAAGGCCAGATTTGAGATTTATAGAGATAGAGAATAGAATCCGGAGTAAGAAAGTGTCGAGCTTGATAAAGATATGCAACCTAAGCAGATGCTAATTTTGCAACAGATTTGGTTTCCAAGAAACATCGGAAGCAAGAACTAAACCTAGAAGATGATCTCATCGAGTACATTACCGTTCATAAATATAGGTGGAGAGGTTAAGACCCATCGTTTAACATCAATGACCTTAACCTCTCCATATTTATTTAATACACGATAAAACCTATCGGTTATTACTGTTTGCAAATCAGCCGTAGAACAAGAAGATCGAAATCCATATTGATGATCGGAAAGTTATTAGATTCAAGATGAGAGATTAAGTGTTTGTAATTAAAGATTTAAAAACCTTGCTTATGATAGCTGTAGAAGAGTCTAAGCAGGAAATCACTTTAGATACAGAAGCAGGAGTAATACGAATGTCAAGCAATGGATCAACCTGTTTGACGGCTTTATCAGGTAGAACGCAACTAGTTAAATCAAGAGATAATATTGATGAAAAGTTCTTAGCAGACAGTTCAGCTTTGTCTTCAGGTAAGGTGACAAAGTCTGAACCATAAAAGAGAGGTAAAATTACAAATTTGCCCTTTTTATTGATACTATTAAAGATTCTCCAGAAGTCACGAGAGCCTCGTTTTTGTGATGAAATACGAGATATCATGACCTGAGAATAGCGGGCTTTGGCGTTAGACAAAACTTTTTTACAATAGTTCTTAGCAGTAATAAACAGACGTCTGTTGCTGATAGATATGGAAGTAACGGTTTCAATTAGCAATTGACGCAGCATAATGTGAGGAAAACCATAGAGAAGAGTGAGGCTTGAACTGTAATTGCTGAGAGAGAATAAAGGATTCCATACCAGCTTGAATCCACCAAGTTATGTCAGAAGCACATTTGTCAAAAGGATTACGAAAGATTCTACCCAGGGGCCATCACGAAGAAAATTAAGGAAAGAGTCCCAGTCAGCTTAAAGGTAGTTGTAAGATTTACAATAATAGGGGGATTTTGATGATGAAGAAGAGTGAGATAATAGTTTTAGAGAGATCAAACTGTGATCAGAGGCACCTAAGAATGAATGTGAAGAAACTGAGCTCTGACTAAGATCAGAAACAAGTAGAGAAGGTAAATAGTTCGGGTTG